ATTTAATAAATTAAATAATTCTTTTTTTCCGAGATAAAAAAGCCTTAACATTGATCAAAATCATCGAAATCGACCTTTGCTATTTTAAATATCTCTGATATTTCGTTGTTCTTTTTGAAAATAGTTTTTTTCTTATCGTGAGAAATAAAGATTCACCTTTTAATTTATATACTAATTCGAACCGAAAAGCCATAATCTAAGCTTAAACATCATTCATTTTTTAGCGAAAAAAGATCCCCGTTGTCCATAAATTTTAGTACGTAGGAATTGTCTCCCGTAATGTGCAATAAATTAGAGTATACGCAAACAAAACTTCAGTGCCACCCGAATATTCAAGGCGACAGCACGTCCGTTCGTAGTTCCAAATCTTTTGTTTGGACAAGCATGAAGTTGGGTTGCGAGTGTCGGACTCTCACTACTGCTAATTCATGTTCTTCGAGCAAAATTTAGAGGAACTAGGTATGTGAGTTTTATTTTGTATTTTTTCACGAATTAATATCAAACACAAATGTTAGTATTCATTAAAATCGTAACTTATTTTTAACTAATTTCAGGTAGATATAGAAAAACGCAAACATATTAATTAAAAACACAAAAAAAAATGAAGATGTAAAACAAAGCAGTTAGTATCCATAATGTACTCACTTTTTTACCAAAATAAAAAATGAATATGCAAAACAAAAATTACAAAGATTGGCCGATAGTTTGTTTGCTTTTCTGGTCATAAGGCTCTACCCGTTGGAAACGGGTTTATAGGTTTACATTTATTTTGCTAATTATTTCACAAAACAGATTGCTGTTATTGTGTGTGTTGATCTATGATTTTAGTCGATAGTTAGTAGTAGATAGTTTTAGTACATAAGAGTTGATTTAAAAAAAAATGAAATAAAGATACTTTGACTAAATCGCTGTATTTATTTTAATCTGTTTTTACTTTTTTTAAATAAATAAATAAGGTATAAAATATTATCTATGAAACACACATCTCCCATATCACACAGAATATGACTTGACAATATCTTAGATTTCTCTATAAAAACTAATAGTTTTAACATAACACCCACAAAGGATACACTTGGACCGCGCCATCTGTCGCCGGCTAGCCACTACGGGACGGCAAGCTTCGCGATGTGTTACGGTACATTGCGTGTTTTTGTGGCATTATAAACAAATAGACGAAGAGGTGATGAGACCTATTTATTAGCGTTCCATGGATTCTCCGTGCGGGTGCGGGACCAACGCGTGATAGGTGGGGGCAACACAAGCGAATTCGTCAGCGCCTGGGAATTGAGACCCAGGTCTAGGGTTAGGGAGTACTCCTTGCGAGGCGTCAGCGCTCACCGCCACTGTCTGCTGTGTTACCCCCTCTACCTGATAATATTTGATACGCGCTTAGCAATGCCGCTTTGGATATGGATTCAAAAAAAGAGCTTACTGAATCTCTTGGCAATCCTAGGTCTTTAAGTAGGTTATAAAGGAATTTAGATGGTATACCCCTTGCATCCACTTCCAAGGCATACAACATTCGTTGGTTAAGTCAAAGTACTTGTTTCTTTTGAAAGCGTGGTGTTCGTTTCCCACGGCACCGTGAGTTCTACTAGTACTACAAGCTTAATTGAAATTGCATTAAGAAATATGTCCGGTCTGGACGCCGAGGCACAGATATCCTCCGGTATTCTGTAGTGATTTTCACACGTGTCCATAATGTCCAGTCACTGGCGATATTTATAATTAAATACGGCTTTTGTGAAGTCTTTTTTGTTGGGCCCACTTTTACAAACGCGATGTTAGTTCTTATGTTTGTTGTTATTTCTTTTGTCGCTCTCACCGGTTATAAACTTATAGCTTCACGTATGATTTGTAATACCCTATCATGGCGACGTGAATAATGACCTCGGTCAAATAGCGCCTTACAACCTGTCAGTAAGTAAGTACTTGACTGTACCTATTTCCGCACTGCATATCGTACAAGCCTTTTCTGTAGCTTTTCCCCGCCTTACTACGTTGCTTTGATCAGGAAGAGTCAAATGAAAGGCGTTGTGGTAAAATTTTAAAAGGGCAGGTGACCATTCGTATAGAAGTGTGCGCCATTTCATACTGGTAGGATACAAAATTCTCCTAGAGTTAACCATTCATTCTGCATTTCTAGGTTCATTACGTGCACCTTTTAGGTCTCGTTTGCATCTTGTTGTAGAAAAGATTTTGTTATCTCTTTGTCGGTCTGTCTTCTAGCAATTCCCAATCCAACTCTACTGCGTACCCACCGTGAGTTTCTTGTGGAGTTGGAGCCGTGATTCAAGCTCCGATGAGATTTTGTCTTTTGGAAGGGATCTAACGATTTTGTCTAGTGATTTTGACAAAACATTCATTTTGGTAACTTTTAGGTTTTTGTAGAGTTCCGAAGGTTTTTTATTTTCATTCCAAAGTTATTTGGGCCCCTACTAGCACTACTTCAATGTTTTAGTAACTATCGCCACCAGTGTTCTTAAGTGGTTGTGGTTCACAGAACATATATACCCCTAAAGGGGAAGAATAACGACTCCATACTATTTTTATGAGGAAATTTTTCCTTACCGGCCGGCGCCATCTATGCTCCGCCCACCAAAACTAGACAGTAGAAGCTAGGGCGGGAATTTCAAAACAGATACTTTGTATTGCATTTTATGCACAAGTACAGTGCGTTTTTCGATAGTGTTCATCAAGATGGTCAATTATTTCTCAGCAAAAACAATTGACATCTAAACGACATCACTATCGAGAAACACACTGTACTTGTGCATAAAATGCTGAAAGCAATATTTATGGAACAGTGTAATAAAAGAAACATTAGTATTTGACTTTTTTATTTAGCATAATATTCATTATAATTTATCAGATATTCATATTATAAGCAACTATATACTAATTTTACATGAATAAATGTGTTTTTGGATTATATATTCATTTGGGACAAAAGGTGTTCACAAGTATGTGTATGTAATTTTTTTGCGTGTGTTGTGGCCACCCTCTAGTGTCAGAGCTTATTAAGTCGCCTCTGGGAATCCCACAGGCCTCTGACATGGCGTGTATGTAATGATAATTAATCACTAAATTTGTCGCTTAATCTAAACACAAATTAAACATAATATTCTAAAAATGAGATAATACATACAATTTGAAAATACAGCAAGCATCTTCGACCATATGGTCTATTGCATACAATTTTAACATCAAAAACCTAGACAAGGTCAAACACAAGTTTACACTTTACAGACATATATCATAATATTATATAATATGTATTATTTCAGTTTAATAAAATAAATAAAGAAATGGTTAACAAGAGAGATACTTATTATTTTTGTTGAAGGTAGACAGATCTGACCAATTTAGCTACACTATCGTCCATTAATAAAACAAGTTGTAAAATAATAAATAAAGCATAATCAGCCTATAATGAAATGAAATGATATTTATTTCTGTAAGTAAATCTTTTCAGATATTTTTACAAGTCGGACTTTATAGAAGGAGCCGGCATTTCCTAAGACTCACTCTGGGAAGAAACACCGAAACAAACCACAGAGGTGTCTTTTTTTTTTTAAGTCCGTAAACAAAGTTAATTAAAACTGTGCGAGTACAGTATAGGGTCTGGATAGGCCTTTTGAGGAAAGGATCATAGTTTTGAGTCAACCTGTCCATACAGACGGCATACAGGCTCCAGCCATCGTGTAGCCTAACCGATATTGGTCTAGATCAACGACCCGAAGCATGACACTACCGCCAGCAGGACATTTGGGTAGGCCGTGGAAACACTCAAAACCACCAGAAAGATAATAAAAAATTAATTAACATTACAAGCCTACACTGTACTCACATTTACATACTTACACAAAAAATAAAAAAATACTACACAGTTCAAAGTCAACGAAAAATAAAATACGAAAACAAAATACGAAATACACCAAAAAATAATAATTAAATGTCCATCACTTTCAAACTTAACAACAAAGATGTCTACGTAAATGTGGGAGTGAGCAGCATCAATCCCAAGCAAATTTGTCGGCTAAATAATCTGTAATAGTGTAGTAAGCCTTTTCACATAGTTTTAGCTTTACTAAAGACTTAAATTTATTAATACTTAATTCATGGAATTTGCTTGGCACTTTATTGTAAAATCGCACACCCTGACAATGAAAAGACTTGCTTACTTTTTGTAGTCTAGTGGTTGGTAACACGAGTTTATCTTTATTTCTAGTGTTTATTTTATGCATGTCGCTAAACTTTGTGAATAAATGATTATTTTTCTTTACATACACTAAATTTTCATATATATATTGAGATGCGACTGTCATGATACCAATTTCTTTAAACTTATCCCTCAGTGACTGCCTATAACTAAGATTATAAATTGCACGAATAGCTCTCTTTTGCAACACAAAGATACTTTGAATGTCAGCAGCATTTCCCCACAACAAAATACCGTATGACATTACACTATGAAAATAGCTAAAATACACCAGTCTAGCTGTTTCTACATCGGTTAATTGACGAATTTTGTAAACCGCGTATGCTGCAGAGCTAAGTCTATTCGACAATCCGTCAATGTGTGGGCCCCATTGCAATTTAGAGTCTAGTGTTATACCTAAAAACTTGGTGGTGTCCACAAGATTCAACTCCTTTCCATTTATTAGAACATTGGTCTTTACCTGTTTAACATTAGGTGTAAAAAATCTAATACATTTCGTTTTATTCTCGTTTAAAAATAAATTATTAACATTAAACCAGTTTACAACCTTAGAGAGAGTGCTAATCACGTCATCAGTTACTGATTGCTGTCGTTTAAGTTTAAATAACAGTGAAGTGTCATCCGCAAATAGTACTATCTCCTGATTATCATTTTTCCACAAATATAAAAAAATGTAAAAAATGTTCTGTTCTGTGGATTTTTTTTCCTCTTCTTAAATCTGATGTCGACGCGTTTACTCCATCAAACAGTTCATCCATGTCTTTAATTAAATTACCCGTTGCCACTGCTCCAGTCGGCATGTCTCCTGAAAATTCACAATAAACAAATTAAATCAATATAAGTACAATATAATATGACCATATAATTATTAGATAGTTTCACCATTTATAAAAGAGACAACCCCACATTTTCATACTGTTGAAACGAATTTGTAAGGCTTGTTGTTAAATGTGCATAAGTATCATGCATAATAATTATGATGTGTGTGTATAAATGAGTTGGACCATGACTATTAAAGATGTCTCTTACCTTTAGCTATTTTGGAAAATATTCCTGCTGCAACTGAGTGGCTTAAAACTTGTGCTGCAAGTTTTACCCTCATTTTTTGCTTGGTATTGGGGTCAAGGTGTTCTTTAGTTAAGAGTGGTGCATAAACAAAATTGGGATTATTATTGTCCAGTTCATAGAATTGTCTGATGTGGCTCCATTTAGCGATTCCTGTAAAGTAATTATTAAAAGTAAAATTATCTATACTAATATTATAAAGCTGAAGAGTCTGTTTGTTTGTTTGTTTGTTTGAACGCGCTAATCTCAGGAACTACTGGTCCGATTTGAAAAGTTCTTTCAGTGTTAGATAGCCCATTTATCGAGGAAGGCTATAGGCTATATATCATCACGCTAAGACCAATAGGAGCGGAGCACCAATAAAGAATGTTTCAAAAACGGAGAAAATTTATTACTATTGAAAGACGCAGACGAAGTTGCGCAGGTCAGCTAGTTAAGTATAAACTACATACATATTATTAAACACTTTTTTTAAACTAAATAACAATGACTTACCAATTCCTTGTTTGTTGTCTGATGTTATATTGGTCATAAACTTTACATCATATTTCATGAACAGATTTCTGAAGCACTTCAGCAAGTGTGGTGTGTCAAATAGCGTGACTACTTTGTGATTGCTCACTTCTATATAGGGATTCTCTACAGAAGCTCCTAATAGACACAGAGCTTTCTTGTTGACTCCATCCAAGTCACAAACTGAAGCGCATATATTAAGGCCAGCATTAAAGCAACAATTTAAAACCTGAAATTTTTTTAAGGCAGATTAGTAACTTAGCTTATTTAACATAAGCATGATCATCTTTCAAAATGAAGAAGAAATGCATACCTCCTTAATCAAAACAGATAGTCTGTCAGCTGTGACAAATCCACTTGATAGGTAATAAGCCACTGGCTGTTTAATTGGCTTCCTAACTCCAACCACCATAAATACAAGCGCATATGAAGCTGCCTGTGGAGATCTACCTTGTGTGGCATGGTCTTGAAAACCCTCAATTTGATCAGACTTAGAGTTGTACCATAAATTTTTTCTTAATGACATTTCATCCCACAACAATATGTACTCTCGTTCAGATGGCCCAAAGTGTTTTGTAATCTTTTTCAACATTGTAAGTGTTGTTTTGTGTATCCCCACATTCATCCTAAATCTGCTTAAGAGGGATTTTAATGTGCTGGGTGCTGGTAAACAAATCATTCTCCTCAATAACTTGTAGCATGTTGGTGACCTTTTATAGAGCCTCAATGCTATTATTTTAGCTTCCATGTTCCACCTGCGTCCAGGTTTCTTCCTCTTATAATTCTGCAGTTCTCCTTGCAGTAACAGGACAAATGATGAACTCATTTTTATATTGAGGATTTTTTTTACTGTTTCATTGTTGGAGATTTCATTTAAAAATGCTTCATTAAATAATTTACAGTTTTTTGTAATCTATATACTTTGTTCATACTATTTTTCAGTTTCCTTATCAACATTTTGTTTTTCTTATCTCCTTCTTGTTTTGAAGACTCGCACACAATCATTCCTGAACAACTGGTTGGAGTGATAATGTTTGCATTATGTTCTCTTAAAGGATAAATTCTGGATGGACCGGCAACAGGTTCAAATATGGCAGGTTGATCTGGCAGATTAGAAATTGTTGTGTCCTGAAAATGAAAGGTTAACATATTTATTTTAAATAAATTAATTTAAATCCTTAAATTAATATAAGTCATAGTTGAGGTAAGCAAATTATATATATAAGAAATATTGATAACTAGCTTCTGCCCGCGGCTCCGCCCGCGTAAATGTCGGTCATCGCGGTAAAAATGCACTCCCTCCGCGTAAATGTCGGTTATCGCGGTAAAAAGTAGCATGTTTTTCCTCAAGAATCAAAGTTTCTACATACCAAATTCCATCTAAATTTATGACTCATTTTGCATGTTTGTAATTGCCCAAGTTTTCTTAAATTTATGTTAACAACATCATTCTGCTACATAATATTATGTGTTACACATAACATAAAGTCTGTATTTCTCTGCAATGTAAATAGCTTTAAATACACTTTTAAAGTATTAATTGTACTAACCTTATGGCATTGAACACCAGGTACAGCTGTTCTGAACAACTTCTTCTCAATAAAGCATGTGCTTTCAAAATGTTTGCTGCAAAGCATCTTATGTTTTGCATGGAGTTCATCCTGGAATTTTGGTGAAGACCAGGCTTTGTATGGAAAGCAATACTTTGCCCATAATTCACACCTGGAAATTTAAAAAAAAATTAAAATTAAAAAATAAAATACGAAATTAAAATTAAAAAGGAAATTAAAATTATTTTATCTCATCTGCATTGCAATGATAAATGTCCAAATGCCCAGAGACTGACAATGAAATAACTGATAACACTGCAGATGGCGACCCTTCAAAAAGGCGCAAATCTGACTATTCTATATGTATGGGTAACAGAGGCATCCATTGGTCTACATTCGTAGAGAACAGGGGAAGGTGTAAAGTTTGTAGCTTGAATAAGGTTCAGTCGAAACCTCATAGTAAATGTTCGCATTGCAACGTGTTTTTGTGTGTAAATGAGAAGAAAAATTGTTTTGTTGAATACCATGAGGTTAATCTGTAATTAAAAACCTAATAATTTAATTATTACTAAGTCAATATTGGATCTCATTATTTTGTAGTTTCTATCCAAGTTCCTAACATTGTGATAACACGAAGTTCCTGACGGCACTTTTAAGTCTAGGTCTTGGTAATAGTACTTCTAGGTATAATAAAAATCTAAAAAAAATCTGTGCGTTTCGTTTTACTTACCTTATTATGTAAATAAAGTTCAAAAGCGAAAATTTGTTAAAAATCACTACCCCGGGGGGAAAGGGTTAATAATCATATTTTTAATTAAGTTTTATCTAAATAACAATCTAAACTTTCTGTATTTCCTTTGATTGAAAGAGATTTAAAGGATGTAAACGAATAGCATGGAAAGTACTTAGGTAGATACATACCGCAGAGCATTTTTTGAGCCAGGCTTAGGAAACCGATGCAAAGTGATGCTGGAATCTTTAGAAGGTGAAGATCCACACATGCAACAGATTCTAGAGTTTTCTTTCTGCGAACTCATTGCGAAAATTAAACACACAATCAAACAAGTCACTATCTCAACACCGAGTCTATATCTCACAAACACACACTTAATTTCACCAAAACACAGCCACGGAGGAGCAAACTCGACTCACGGTAACAATGTATGTAGAATTAAATGCAACTAGTTTATTTATTACAAATAAACATAGGTACAAGATAAAATGGTGCGGGAACCGCAGGCAGACATTTTTCTTGTGACGTCAAACGTGTTGCCAGTAGTTGCCACACATTTTCCCCCTTATCTTTTTTTTGTTTTTGTGTATTGATCAATTAAATATGTTATATTTCTTAGCAAAATAATTTTTTTGGGTATCAGAATAATCACAAAATGTATTTTTAAGGGTGACTTTCTTTTTTAGCTCATTGTTTTGGAGAAAACGAAATTGTAATTTTGGTGGCAACATTTTATAATTCATCTCTTTTACTCTAATGTTGTTGTCTCTTTCTTGTTTTCAAGCCCACCTACATCTTGTTCTAAGAACAAAGTTGACAGACCCTGTTGTGGTTTATATCGTATACCAGAAACGGCCAGTTGAGACGTGATGTTAAGTAGTTGTCATAAATCCAAGCTTTTTTTTACGTTACTTATTGACTGTTGGTCTACCTTGTCAATGTCTTTTACTAAGTCATCGACTATTGCGTTCATTGATGGAGTACGACCTTTTTAGTCCATATTTCTTCCAAGGAATTTAAGGGGCACGGTTTTTGATATTATTGAAACACTTTCCCCACCAATAGTAAACCCGGGGTCATATGAGGTATAACTGGTACCTCGCTGACCCTAACAAAGGCAATAGTATTTGCTAGGTTTTCTCCTCATTCCTTCAGTCCAGGTACCGAAGTCTATCCATCTATCTACCTTATACGAAAAACCGAAAGTAGATTGATTAGTTACCAGCGTATGACTGCATGTAAACTATTAATGTGGGTGTTCAATCTCGAGTTCAAAGGCTTGGGGACTACAGTGTTAAGGTAGTTTTGAAAAATTAGTAACAACATTTTTTATTACTTTTAGTGAAGACTATTTACTGTGAGTTAAAAAATGCTACTACCAAAAATGACGAAATTTCATATAAATTTCGAACCCCCATTTTACTCCCTTAGGGGTGAAATTTTCAAAACTCCTTTCTTAGTGCGCACCTACTTCATCTAAGGAACGTTTGTGCTATAGATGAAGAACCCGGCGAAAAAGTAAATTTGTTTAAAAACTACACGGTTAAAGTTCGTGGGTGTTACTTCACGGCCTCAACAAATAGCCATTTTGTGCAGTACATACAGAATAATAGAAAAAAGTTTGTTACTAGCAATTCGTGATCGTTTAAAACATATATTATGTCAAAATGACAATTAGTTAGACGCAGATGTCTTAGTTTCGTGTTACTCGCTGCTCCGATTACAAAGATTGAATATCTTTATGGTTCAGTAGTCATTGTGAGGAACCCTTGTGTTTTTAACATATCCGTACGCTCTGTCCGTCCGTCCTATCTAGCTTTGGCAGGATGGGTACATATTAATCCAGCCGACTAAGTATTGAAATCAAATATTGTTTTAGTATCTTACCTGGAGGGCAAAGCGTTGCGAACGCACGTTAGGGAGTAGAAAGGTAACATCGTGGTTCCCACACTCGAGAAGGTCATCAGCAAGCCATATAAGGCCCGGGGTCTATAACGGAACCAGGGATTTCTTTTCATTTTTCACCTTGTTCCCGGGCTAATGGGACCCGAGACGGCCTGCGATTTTAAGTCGGTTTGAGTCCTACATAACCGGTTGTCCGGCGAGTGGTATCCGATGGAATTTCCGCACTTTTACCTATTTATGAGTATAGTGTTTTTCAATTGAGTGAAAGAGTGCAGTTTTGTGAAATGTTAAAGTGTATGATAGTATAAATTTTTGTTTAGGTCAAATTTCTCGTCTAATGGGTACCTAGCTAAACTGTTGGCCTGAAAATTGTGAATATGTATAAACGTATAAAGTATAGTGTATAAAGGATTTGATGGCATAAAACGATCACAGATAAGTTGGTTCTGTTAGTTTAAGGGCTAAAAAGTTACTTAGATGAAGTTGTTACTTTTTAAAATGTATTAAGGGAAGCTTACAATGTGGCCCAAAACGGACTTGGCTCATTTTTTTAAATTTCAATACAGAACACTAAAATACTGCGTGTAACACACAGTTTTTCAGTAACGTGTAGTCGATAGGAAAAACCATTTATAGACGATGTTAATTAATTGATATTTGATTTATTGGTTTCGCGTGTTACTCCCTGCTTTACAACACGGCACATTACAATTTTTTACATGTAGTTGGATATTTCTTTAAATTGATGTGATTACGTAATTAGCATAATAAGATTTAAGACCATATTATTACCATCTATTTCTTTCGCTATTTATGTTGTTCAGTGTTTTTTTATTCATTTCATGTATATAATCATCATTATCATTCGACTTTTAGGCTTAGCAACTGTTAAATGCACTTAAGCTTGTTAAATAGTCTAGGCAAAATCTCCTTGATTTTTTATAATTTATAATTAATATTTTTGATAATATTTCGGACATCTGACACAATGCTATCTAGTTCCAAATTAGTATAAGAATATTTTATATCAAAACACCTTATTACACCCACAAGAAGCCGTCTAGTTTAAATAATAACTGTTATAATAATGATCTACATACGTTATCTTTGCAACAAGCAATACCAAACAGAATGCTCTTGACATTTCCTAACAAAATAAAACAAGTTTGGTTGAGCGTAATATCACGATTGGTAATTACGCTTCTCGATATAAAATAATACCATGGGCAATGTCGAGTCACGGCTGGCTGCTGGTGTCTGCCACACCTAGGGGATTGAGCACTTTTACTTTTAAGGTGTTACGCAGATGTGTAGAGGGGCGAGTAAAATCAGCGTGAGTGTGAAGGTTCTCCTTCAGTATAGGCCGTAGGCGCGTACCGTCATACGTCCTGCTTTCCTGCGTAGCTCGCGTTGTGATTTGATAAAACACGTGCTGCGACCGATCGCGACGCATTGTCACGCTCCCCAGTACAACATACAGGTACACTATACAAAGTGCAAGTGTCATTTTACACCCGGTAATATTGTGCAGTGTGCAGTTCATACTAACGAGTAAATATACTTCTTGTTTTTTTATTTGTTATGAATATAATGAGTAAAATTATGATTGATTACAAACACAGATTATTAAAACATAAATTATAATTTTAAAGAAGAATTTACAAATACAAGTGAAACTATTTAAGAATATCCACAAACAACAACAAAATGTTTTTTGTTGTGAATTATTGTAATACGTAAAATAAAACAAAAATTGAATACCTACTATTTAATTTTATTACTATGACCAGGCGGAAATTATTGAAGAAGGCTATGCAAAATGATTTCCTTTTAATTGGTTTAGATAAAGATTGCCACAACATTCACCATAATAGATCAAAATGATAATCAGAAGATAATTAAATTATTTTTCAATTTTACACATTATATTCATAAATTAAAAGTGTACATGCCCATTACTGAACATGGGCATCTCTCAATGACTTCTAGGATAAATATATATATATATTTATATATATATATATATATATATCATATTTCTATCTATCTATTTACGCTTTATCGTTGAAATTCTTCATTATGGATGAAAATTTGTTACTGCAATACGCTAAAAGTTACAAACTGGAATAAATGACTAAAAAATCCCAACCCTAGTGGTCCACAATCGTTAACAGAATCAAAATTCCTGGCGTTACTCGAACCGTTAGGTGTAAGAAGCTAAAGGTTTAATCAAGAAATATGAAAACTTAAAAAAAATCTAATCAATGAAATAAAGTTAGGAAAAAAAGTATTGTAGAAGTCTAAGGACATCAGTATCTTCGGTTGCATAATACCAACAATGAACGCTACCTCAGTTATGCATTGCATAATTTATACCACTTGAATTCTGAAGGCTTGGGTTCCATTTTCTGGTCTCATAGCATTTTTAGCAAAAATGCTTTTTCAAAATTGTTGACTGAGAAATAGTTACGAGTATTTGAGTCCCGATGGTAAAGAAGTATTTCATACGTCTTTGTCTTTCTATTGATTGCAGCCGTGAAGCAATGCCATTTAAACTATGTAAGTGGATAAAAGCAAAGCAGATAAAAACAACCGTATTTAAAACTGCACTGGTGATGCAATGATTTTATTGGACTAATTAACTTCTGTCTGAACAAGGATCTAAAATACTCTTATAGTAGTAAAAATATGGATAATAAATTATTCGCTTATGACTTCGCAAATAAAATGTTCATAGCCAAATATCCTAATAATTAATTATAAGAATGATTATGATAGACTAGCGGAATTGATCCAGAATACAATCTGCCGGTGGATCAACAATTGAAATACTTGAAACCTTTTTATTGTAAAGCTTGTTGTTGGTCAAACAAACAAACAGACTCATTAACACCCATAAATATTCTCATTTTAACTGTAGTGGGAAGTAATGAGGTTTTTTTAATTACCGTTGTAATTGTGTATTTCTCGGGTACAAATCGGGTGCATAGAATTCGCAACTCATGTCTCATGGAACTATCAGATAACAACATAATTATAAGGGCCTTGTATATGTGCGTGAATGCTGTAATTGAGTTTAGGCAATACCTATAATAATCCGAAGTAAACAATAGTTCATTGTGTGATAAATTAGCCGTTATGTGTTTACAAACACGAAGAAAACAATGACTGGACAGCTAACAAGCGGAGGAAGTTGTGCGCGCAGTAAGCTATCGTCTTAATGGTACAATTTCAAATTTTTAAATAATATGCAATTACGTAGAATATGAGATTTGTTTTTTTATTTGCTAATA